CTTAGGGTTTAGGGATTTAGGGATTTGGGGATTTAGGGGTTTAGGGTTTGGGGTTTAGGGGCTTTGGGTTCAGGGTTCAGGGTTTAGGGCTTAGGGTTTAGGGATTTAGGGATTTGGGGGTTTAGGGTTCGGGGTTTAGGGGAATAGGGTTCAGGGTTTAGGGGCTTTGGGTTCAGGGTTTAGGGTTCAGGGTTTAGGGTTTATAAGGTTTAGGGGCTTTAATGTTGGGGGCTTTGTTGGTCAGAGGGCTTTGGGGTTTCAAGGGCTTTAGGTTTAGGGGTTTGGGGGTTCAGGGTGTTTGGCAGTTTGGGGGCTTTCGGCAAAAGGGTGTCGGCCATTTGTGAGTTCCGTCGTCTTAGTTTCACTGATATTGTGTTGTGGGTTCAGGGACAAGTAGGCAGCAGAAAATAAAGCTCCCCCAAACTTAGGGTACAGGGCATTGGCTTTAAAATCCTACACCTTTTATCCCAAGCCTAGGAGGGGAGCTTTAAACCCTAAGGCCCTACCTTAACAACCCAAAACCTACTTTTTTGTAGGGTCCCTAAAAATCCCACATGAGGGTTTATAATAAGAACCTACAAAAAGGTGGGTTTTGGGCTTTGGGTTCTTAAGGTAAGCCCCAAACCGAGGAGCATCAATCCTGGCTCAACCTCCGAAACACCTTCCTGGATGTGGAGGCAGAGGCGGGGGCCTCTTGCCGACTGCGAGCCTCCCGGAACTCCAGCCCCCTCAAAAACAAAGGTTAGGGTTTAGGGTTTAGGGTTTAGGGTTTAGCGTTTAGGGTTTAGTTTTGAAGGGTTTAGGGCAGTATAGGGTTTAGGGTTTAGGTCCAAAAAGCGCAAGCCCAGAGAAAGAGCCCAAGACCAGGAGCCCATAAACGAGTCCGGAACACCCGACACCCCAAAATCATAGTACATCATGGTGCTGTGGTACGGTTGACATCTGAAAGACCCAGCAAGTCTTGAAACTCCTAAACCCAGAAACCCGAAACCCTAAAACCCTAAAACCCTAAACCCCTAAACCCCTAAAGCCCTAACCCTTAAACCCTAAAACCCTAAACCCTAAATCCTCAAACCCCTAAGCCCTAAACCCCTAAATCCTCAACCCTAAACCCTAAACCCTAAACCCTAAACCCTTTAAGCCCTTAACCCTTTGAGCCCTTAAACCCTTCAACGCTGGCCTTTCGAGGCCGGGATGTCGCGGGAGCTGCGGGACCAGCGCCTCGTGCGGGCCCCGGGGCATGGGTCACACACGGCTTCGTAGCGTCTGGGGCCTTAGTAGTTCGAATAGGGTTCTTGGGGGTTCCTTATGACAATTATAGTACTAATTATAATATACTTATAGTTCGAAGAGGGTTTTGGGGGTTCCGTTTTAAAATTATAGTATTATATACTGATATTTTCAATAGGGTTTTGGGGGTTCCTTGTTAAACTTACAGTATTATATACCCAGGGTTTTGGGGGGCTCCTTATGACAATTACAGTTTGAGTATTATAATTACCCTCTCATGTAGGGGCCTTAGTAGTTAGAATTTGGGCTTTGGGGGCTTCCTTATGACAATTATAGTATTGTATACCCATAGTTAGAATAGGGTTTTGGGGGTTCCTTATGACAATTACAGTTGGAGTATTATATAATTACCCTCTCATGTAGGGCCTTAACAGCTAGAATATGGGTTTGATGGGGGGGGGGTTCCGGAAGAACAAGTATCGTATCATAGACCTTATATACCCCCCCAAAATAGGGTTTTTGGGGCTCCTTATTAATTACAGTTATAGTATTAGATGATTACCCTAAACCCTAGTCTAAGTATCTTTATATGACGCATCCTGTTCCCTCCATCAGTTACCAGGGTCCCTTTGTTTGCTGTTGACGGTGCTTTGAGCCTTGACTCTCCGATTCGCAAAACTCTGATCCCCAAAGCCAGTTCATTGAAATCTTTATGTAAAGCCCTAATTAAGCTTTTTGAAGTTATCATTAGGGCTTGGGGTTTAGGCTCTAAGCTTTTTCAAGTTAGGGCATTAGGGTTTAGGGTTGAGACAAAGCTTTCAAAGCTTTCGCCCTCAGCCCCAAGGAGGATCCCTATCAAGCAGACAAAGCGCCAGGCCCAAGCGGAGCAAGCGCACGCCGCGCAGCGCCGAAAGGTGGCAGAGCGTTGGCAGGGCGCTCGGAAGGTTTGATATTGGTGTTTTTGGGGGCTGCCCTGCAGCTTGTGGGGATCTGGCGGGCCGTATACACCCACTCCTATAGGGACCAGCAATCTTGACGTCAAGATTGCAGGGCTCTTCGTTTATTTGCAGAAGTCGTGTGAGCCTGTTCTTTGGACAGCCTTGGTGCTGTGCGGACTTTTGAATCTTGGATGGAAGTTCTTTGAGACTTTCGTGTTCTCTTACACGCCTTCCTCCTTGTCGGGCGCTTGAATGGAAGTGTCCCGAATGCAGAGTAGCGATGCACGAGAGAACAGCGGACCTCCGATGTTTGTGAGTTTGTGATCGGTTTGTTTACTGCTTTGTTTTGTTCTTGTTCCTGAGTGTGCAGTTGTTGTTCCTGCTTTTCTGATACAGCCAAACACCGAGGCACATGTGAACCCGCGAAACCCTAATTCATCCGGCTCCCTGCATCCGAAACCATAGCCCCCAAACCCGCCTCATATCCGAACGTTGAAACCCGCCAAAACCCTAAACCCTGAGCCTTAAACCTTTGTAGGACCAAAGCTCTGCGGAGCTAAAGAAGCACGACACGCCACTTCTGCAGCAGAGGAATCGCCAGCAGATGGCCCGCGAGGATGACCTCGAGGCCCGTTGACAGACAGATGGAGACGTGAAGACATGTGTCTGCCTGGCCGGTCCGTGTCGGCTTTCAGGGTTGGGAGTTGAGGCTTTCGAACTTTAGGGTTTCGGGTTACAGTGAGCCATCGCTCTTCTGGGGACCCTTATGTCGAGGTTCCCCCCCCTATCTCCCCCTACATTGATCAAAGAAGCAGGTTGGGCGCCGCGGTGCGATGCTGAAGCCTTAGTTTCCCGTCCGTCAGCTTTCTGGAGATTCCAGGGAGTTTGGGGCATACCGCGAACCACTATGACCTACTTTCTTGCAGGGTTCTATATTACGGCTTGCAGGAAGGACCCTACACCCGCAAGCCCTCCGTGGCGGCTTTTCCTTGAGGTCCCCGCTTCCATGCGCCTCGCGCGCGCGGCGCCTTCTCAGCGAGCTGGCCGTGGCAGAGAAAGGCCGATTCGAATCTCGGGCTTAGTATAAGGGCCTTAATACTTAGACTAGGGTTTAGGGCTTAATGTCGGGGCCTAAATAATTACCTATATTATTTTGGTGGTTCCTGATTATAATTATAGTAGAACCTATATTATTTTGGGGGTTCCTTATTATAACTATAGTAGAATGGGCTCCAAAAACCCTATTATGGTTATTAAGGCCCCTACATTAGTGCCAGATGTGGGGTTGGGGTTTTGCAGGGCCTCTCGAAATCAAGAGTTCCTGGAAGCCAAGGGGGCTCCATGTACGAAGACGAGGGATCCGATGACTTCCAGGGGGGTCCTTTATTGGGGACCTGTCGGGGTTGGCGCTGCTCGAGGTTCCAATGTCTCGGGTCCTCGTTCGACTTGCTCCCGTCTTTTCAGCGGGCTTTGGGTTTTGGTTAGAATTGGTTAAACCAGGGTTCACGGCTTGAGGCGCACAGGCACGAACATACTTGCGGGGTTGCTATGCGCACAGCGGAACGTCCAGTCGACTTGTTCTTGGGGGGTTTGGGGTATGCTTGATGACACTTTGAGAGAATGTAGCATGTCCCTCATGGTCTGACATTGCTACCTGTACCTATTCATAACCAGTTTTGTTCGCCTTTTCCCTCTAGGGTGAAGAGATCAGGCAGGAATTGTGATTCCTAGATGTTTAGATGTTACAAGTCTAGCCCCGACAAGCCCATTCAGCGACCAAGCCAAACTTTCCGAGCCTCCACAAATCGTACGGATACTCAATACTCACTATGACCTCAAGCCCCGTAAAAACAGCCACAGCAAGTTGGCCCAGTCCAGCCCGAAGTGCCCTAAACCCCCAACCCTGAACCCTAAACCCTAAACCCCTAAACCCTAAACCCTAAACCCTAAACCCTAAACCCTAAACCCTAAACCCTAAACCCGCAGCCGAAAGGCCTGAGCGAATCGGCTGCAAAACGAGCTTCTGCGGGCTGTGGCCTCTGTCATTCAGCCGAGTTCAGGGTTCAGGGTTTAGGGTTCAGGGCATAGGGTTTAGGGCATTTAGAGTTTTGGGTATTTAGGGTTTAGGGTATTTAGGGTGTAGGGTTTGGGGTTTAAGGATCGTTCAGGCTTTGCTGGCGAAGGGTTTTCTGGTTTAGGGTGTGCCGGCGATGGATTAAGCTTTGGGGTTTGGTGGGGGTTTTAAGGTTTTTACTTTTTTTTGGGGGTGGGACTGCCTAGGACCTAGGATGAAAGGCAGTGAAACGGCATCAAAGGCCTTGAAATCCTAAGCCCGCAATCCTTGAACATCTACGCTCGGATTCCCAGGCCGCAAAGTGAATCATACCGGCAAGCAGTCATCCAGCGAGTCGAGTGCGGCAAGGAAGCCCAAGCAAAGGCGTACAGCTTCTCTTTGATGTTGGGGGGTTTAAGGGTTTCGGCGTGTAGGATTGGCTGTTTGGAGCTTATGGCTTTTGGCATCGGGGTCCGAGAGGAGATGAAGCCTCGACTGCTGCACTCAGACTCGCAAGCCAATTTGGACCCAGACTCCGGCCCAGAATCCGAAGCCGTGGCTGCGGGATGTGGAGAAAAGGGCTGGGCCCCATTGCTAGATCCAAGGCCCTAAGAATCTCAGAGGTCGGGGACTGAGGCAGGGTGTGGGTTTAGGGTTTAGGGTTTCGTGCCGGCTGGGTGTGTCAGGTTCAACGTGGCGCATGCTGATGTGCCACTTGTGAACTGTCAGTAGTCTGTTGTAACACGGTTTTAAGCAATCAGTGCATGGCGAAGGACTGCCTGCAGCTTGGACCTGTGAAAGCAAGGGGCTTCGTAATATTCCCGGATATCCCTAGATAGCCTTAGCATTTCAATGGCATATTACTCCCTTGCAACAATAGTCTAATGATTCCGGGTCCTATATGAACCCGTGAGTCTGTAAGGCACCAGCTATCGGAACCAGGGACTGCCGGGCTCTCCTCGCAGGATCCTCGCAAGCCCCGCGCAAGAAGCGCTGGAGATGTTGGAAGCTTCATACTTAGACAACGGCTCGAGGATCCTAAATCCTGAGCCTTAAACCCTACGCCCTAAACCCCTACCTTAAACTACCAAAACCTACTTTTTTGTAGGGCCCTATAAATTCTATCTTAGGTTTTTTAATAAGCACCTACAGAAAAGTAGGTTATGGTAGTTCAAGGTAGACTATAGGGTATGTTATACGATGGGTTTTCGACTTTTTCAGATGAAGGTTTGAGCTCTCGTTTAGGGTTTGCACAGGGTTTGAGTTTGAGATGTGGGGCTTCAGGATTTGAAGTACCCGAAACCCTAAAAACCCTAAACCCTAAAGCCTAAACCCTAAACCCTAAAGCCTAAACCCGAAACCCTAAACCCTAAACCCAGAAAACCCTGACGAGGCTTGCCATGAAGGGCATGAACAGCTTGTGACCTCGCATCTTCTCGACGTGGCCAGCCGCTGCAGCCACGTGGCACACTGTGGAGAAATACAAAGCTCAGGGTCTAGGGTTTAGGGTTTCAGAGTTTAGGGTTTAGAGTTTAGGGTTTAGGGCTCACACTTCACACCCAACCCGAGGGCTCATATGGGGGTTTCCGAAAATAGGGGACCCTAATATAGTACCCTAAATAGTAGGATCCTTATTATAAGGACCCCAAAATTAGGTACCCCTAATTTTCGGAAACCCCTTTTAATCCCTGGCCCGAAACCCTGGACTCACCTGGACCCTGCCTCCAAAGGTTCAGAGCCTTGAGCCGAGGCCGCTACACCCCTGAGTCCTAAACCCTCATCTCCTACCTGAAAGCCCGCAACCTGTAGCCGTCAACCCTGCGCCCTCCCCGTTGATATCAACCCCATAAACTCGAAACTTTACACCCTACACCCTGAACTCTGAACCCTAAACCCTAAACCCTAAACCTTAAACCCTAAGCCCTAAACATTAAACCCTAAACCTTAAACCCTAAAGCCTAAACCCTCAACCCCAAACCGAACTCCGAAAAAAAGTCCGGCGCCTCGGAGCCATGTCGGACGCGAAGAGGCCAAGGCTCGGGGACCCTCACGAGGAGCGGCTGGAAGGTGAGTTTAGGTCTTACAGGGTTTAGGATTCAGGGTTTAGGGTTTTCGGTTTAGGGCTTATAGGGTTTAGGGTTCAGAGATCTTGGTTTTGGGTTTTGGGTTGATGGGGTTTAGGATACAGAGTTCAGGGTTTAGGGTTCTTGGTTTTGGGTTTAGGCTTGATAGGGTTTGGGATTCAGGGTTCAGAGTTCAGGGTTTAGGGTTCTTGGTTCTGGGTTTTGGCTTATTGATATGGCTTAGGATTCAGGGTTCAATTGAGGGTTTAGGAGAAGCTCGCTTGGTGGGGCTTCTGGCAGGGCTGCGGGGCAAAACCCTAAAACCCCTATACTGGGTTTAGAGTTTATGGTTTAGGGACCCCAAAACCGTATTCTGATTATCAAGGCCCCTATATTGGAGTTAGGGTGGCTGTAGCAGGAACAAGCCACCTGATATCGCAGGACGCATGTCAGCTGGCTCATCAGCTCCTGTCGCAGGACGCAGTGGGGCACGGAGGTTTGAGTAGGAAAAATGCAAATACCAATACAAGTATTACTCATAGCACTAGCTGCACTAGCGTCCACAAAGACAGAGATAGCGATAGTGTAGTTCTAATCAGCTTTATACTGGTAGCATGATGTGCGGGGCGAGCTTGGAGCAAGACAAAGCCTTAATGAGCAACATTTGCTGAGAACCTCCGTGGTCTCAAAGGTTGGATTTCCTCTATTTACGGACACTTAGGCTTTCACTTCCCCACCTACCTCCATCCCACCTTGGATCCTAAACCATCCCAAACCCTAATCCCCGAACATCCTAAATCCCTAACCCCTGAGCCCTAACCGAACCCTAAGGGTCCAAGTGCCCGATAATCATATACTCTCGCAAGGATGAAACTAGATCACTACGATCCGTAACCAAAGTACCTTATTATTGGGTCCTTTGGACCCTTAGTGCCACCTACTGTGGAGGCCTAGATCCTAAATCTCTAAACCCTAACCAAAACCATCCTAAACCCTATACCCTAAACCCTAAACCCTAAATCTCCAACCCTGAGCCCCAACCCCAACCCCTACTGTGGAGGAGGGAGTCCAGAAGCACTAAACCCTCAACCCGAAACCCTAAACCCTCAACCCGAAACCCTAAACCCTCCATCAAACCCTCAACCCTCCATCAAACCCTAAATCCTAAACCCAAAGCTCTCAACCCTGAGCCCGAGGAGGGAGTCCGGAAGCTCCTCTGCCCTGAGCTCGTGGAGGATGTCTTGGCCTGCTCGGTCGCGCGAGGGGTGGTCATGTACCCGGAGCCCGAGAAGAAGAGGGAGGCAGGCGTAGGGTTGAGGGGCTTAAAGTCGTGTTTCAGGTTTAGGGGCGGAGTGCCGGAGAAGAAGAGGGAGGCGGGATTGTAGGGTTTCGGGACATCTTGGTATATCCTGGTATAAGTTTTCGGGTTTAGGGGTTTAGGGTTTAGGGTTTAGAGGTTTTAGGGTTTAGGGCGTTGTTCTGGTTCAGGGTTTTAGGGTTTTAGGGTTTTAGGGTTTCTAGGGTTTAGGGGTTTAGGGTGGAGTGCGATAGGCGAGAAATGTAGGGGTTTTGATAGTTACCAAGTGGATCTCCTTATAGTGGGGAAGATAGACGGGAATGTGCACTCATCCTATTATTGTGAAGCTCTTCAGGCATATTATTAGTATAGTCACCCGAGGCCCCACAGCCCAACCCAATCCCAAAACTCAAACACAGAAAGGCCCGTGCAGTGCCCGTGACGCTGACACCCTGCCCGCTTCCGGCGAGCAGCTTCCGCGCCGCCGAGGAGCTGGCGCAGCTCGATAAGCCTTTGGCGTCAGCTAGAGGGTGAGGGCTTCATGATAATTCTAATTATAAAAATAATAGTATTGATAATTTCAATGATAAACGGTTGTTATGGGTTTAGAGTGATAATGTTTTAGAGGGTTGCTGGGGTTAAGAGTTCAGAGTTTTGGGGATTAGGATCTAGTGTCTACACGATTTGTGATCCGTCCATTACTCGGCTTCTTTTGGTCAAGTTTGGAATGGCAACTGCCCTTCTTGGAGGAGCGCTGAAGATAGCAAGTGAGGCTCTATGTGGGCGGCAGATTCTCTGCTTCTAAGATCTTGTAGGTGGACCCTAAACGCCAAACCCTAAACCCCTAACCCCTAAACCCCTATAACCCCTAAACCCCGAAACCCTAAACCCTAAACCCTAAACCCTAAAACGCCCTGATTTCTTTTTAAAGACGTTATTGCCAGACCATGCGCCTGTCGCACACCCAGGGCGGACTTCCATGCCCTCATGGACAAAGTCTGCTGTGCCTTTGCAGCCAGTAAAAAGTTGCTACAGAGCACAACATCATAGACACCAGACTTCCCTGCAAATGGGTCGTGAAGAAGGTTCTGAGGGGATGTATTGAGAGGAGCTGAGGGGGCAGAGCAGCTTGTGTGCAAGAGCGACTTCTGAATTCGACGCAGGGACATGAGCATTGTAACGAACACGACGTCTTCACTCAGGCTGTATGGTTAGTTCCTGTGTCGTAGGTTGTTTAGGTATCGGGTGTCAGGTACGGAGCCCGTCTGCTAGATTTTGTTTGGTGGTCTTTCCTGCACTTGTTGCGGATGAATAACTCCTCACGTCGTAGACTTTATGTAAATGTTGAAGATAGAAACTCTGAATCCTAAACCATCCTCAACCAAAGCCTAGTAGGGTTTGGAAATTGCAGGTTGTTGAGTGACCAAAGCACTCAGGTGACCTGGCATGGATGCGGGAAGCCCTAGCGAAGACGGCCGCCATGGATTTGATCTGCCGGAAACTGTTGGAGGCATCGCCTGTGCGAGTTTGCAAGCTTTAAGGTTTGGGTGTGGGTTTTTCGGTTATAATGATTATAAAGCTTATAAGATTCAAAAAGTGTCGTTGGTTTGTTTCAGCTTCGAGGTTTTTGAAGGTTCGCGCATTTGAGCCTTCTTGAGCCATCTTTGATGCCCTCACCGCGTCCGTAAAGTTGCCGTAAAGGCCGTAGACTATGCCGTCCTGAAGCCCCGATAGACCCCAGTCCACGAACTCCTCATAAAACCACAAGTGCCAGAGGTTGCCTCTCGTCGGAGTGCATTCACGGTTCAGGCCTTCCTGTGTTCTAGCCACTGTTTCTCCGACCATTTCCTACCGCTGGACGTTCGAGTCCGCGAATTCGTGCTTCATATCCCTCTCATGCTCCCCTTATTTCCCTTGCAACCTTAACGCCTTAAACCCAAACTCCCAAGCCCACAACCCTTGGCCCTGCGTACAGGGGCCTCATTCTGTCATGAAGGCCTCTCTCGGAGCCAAACCTGAAGCCCTCAAACTCCCGATCTGCTAACAAGCCCTAACACGCAGAACCCGCAACCCGAAGCTCGAAATCCCCAGCCCGAAACCCTGAGGAGGTTGAGTCAGGAAGCCCCCAGAGACCCAAAACCATCGAGAGGTGTGCGAGCAGGCGTACAACAGCGAGACTGGCAAGGACTCTCCTGGAGGGTGTAAGTTGGTTGTTAGTGAAGGCACCATCACCCATGCAAATGTGTATGCATGTATATATCTATTTATAGCCATGCAGATAGATAGATAGATAGATAGATAGATAGGTAGATAGATAGATAGACAGACAGACAGACCTGTATGCACATGCATATATATATATATATATATACATACATACACACACACACACACATATAGGGTATTCGGGATAAGAGCTTCTTTCGCCTACAAGGTCCCTCTTTCGGAGCATAACGAAGGCGTGAGGACCTATAATAGTCCTCGAACCCATCGTATTGCCCTGGCACTCAAAGGATCAATCATTATCCTGAATCCATTACAGGCCCTCTTAGAGTCACGGCTGGCCTCCGTGGGCAGTCATGCAACCCTAAATCGTAGACCCCAAAGCCTAGTACCCTAAACCCTAGCTCGAGGGCTGGATTTGTAAGCTTCACGGCTTCAGGGATTGGAATGTTTCGGTGTCTTTCGTGCTTAGGCTTTAGGCTTTAGCTTGGGGTTTAGGGTAGTTGGCGTTCCTCCTTTCGTCGCCTAACTTTTTACCAGCCCGAAGGCTAAAGCTCGGAACTCGCCAAAGCGCGTCCAAAGCCCTGAACCCTAAATCGTGACAAGTGCGCGCCCCGGAGCTTCTATGCTCCATTGCAATTCCCCTGCCTGAGCTACTCCACCTTAAACCCCAGACCCTAATCCGAAATCCAAACATCCGACTCCCGAACTCTGCAGCGCTGCATTCAGGAGCCGAGTGGCGACATCAGGCCCATGTTTTTGTGAAGCCGAGTTTTAGGGAATTTTAGGGTAGGGTTAAGCTATTGTGATTGTAGGGTCTGGGTTCCGTTTGGGTATAGGCGTTGATGGCATTTGTGGTATAGGTAGTATGTGTTTCTGCGCAGTTTTGCATTGAACGGGCATAAGCCCCTACTCGCCTTGTATCCGACGCCCTCCTAGTTTTTTTGCAGAGCTTCTGCAAGGGACCGGGAGATGTAGTCCCACCATGTTCAAGTTGGTTTGCGGCTGCTGCACTATCAGCAAATTCAGAGAAAAAACTCCCGGGCTGCCCCCCCCGCCCCCATACTTTGCGGGCCCATATTCCCTGCAGGCCAAACCCACCAAAGGTTCACCTGAACATCTTACGACGCGCTTAGGCAGGTGGAGCCCAGGACATGTGAAGCCGAAAGCAGAAGCGGCCCAGTGCTGTTAACGGAACCGAGGTATGAGGCTTTAGGGTTTAAGGGTTATTGCTGCACACAACTCTGCCCGTTGGATGGAAGAGACCAGGCTCCATATCATGCGCAACGATTTCATGTTCGACCTGCAGCGCGATCCAGATCTTGCGATGGTTCAGATCGAGCTGTCACTTGGCCTCTCCTTTATGAGCCCACAAACTAGCCATTTGCCCTATTTGTTGTGGGTTCGCCTACTTGAAACCGAATAGTAGGAGAAAGGGCACCGTTATCATTGAGGGGCTAATCGGGGAACCCAGTAAATCCCCAAAACCCCAAGCTCAGACGACCGAAACCCTAACCTGAACACCGAGGCCCTAAACCCTAAGCACGGGCCCTTTTTTATAGGGTTTAGGGTTTAGGGTTTAGGGTTTAGGGTTTAGGGTTTAGATCTTTCCTTAACATCCGGTTTAGGCTTTAGGGTTCGAAATCAGGAACATGATGGCCGCCTCCTTCTCCACGCATTGCCAAGACCTGACAGAAGCGCAGCGCTATGCGCTTACGATGCTGGGACGGCTTTAGGGCACACCCTCAACCTTCCAACTTGGCCCTCTGACTCTATCACTTCGCTATCTGCATGTAAACTACTCCACAGCCCCATCTAGTTGATTATTAAGGTTTGGCTCTCAGTATTCAAAATGTTGTAAGGCGCCCTCTGAGACTTGAGTAATAAATCCTCCTACCATAGGGGCCTAAATAATTACCAAAACTATTTTGGGGGTTCCTTGTGATCACTATAGTATAGAGGAGCTCAAAACCCTATTCTAATGATTAAGGCCCCTACATTACAACCTCACGACATCCTAGTAGAGAGACTTTCAAGAAGCCCAAGGAAGTTCCTGGGCCTTCATAGCACATTCAGAACTTATAAACCCTTATGAAGCCCGTTGCAATCCTGATGAACCCCCCTGACAAACATGCCCAGAAAGTTCCAACATCCTCCAAAAAGCCTAATCCCTATATAAAGCCTACACCCCAAACCCTAAACCTTAAAACCCTAAACCCCAAACCCTAAACCTTAAAACCCTAAAGCCTAAACCCCGAAACAAAAAAAAGTCCTAAGCAAGCCCCAGGAAGTTCTTGGGCGTTCTGGAGCCGAATCTCGGCTGCGCCCGAGTGGCCACGGCCCTGGAGGCGGCGATGCCGAGGAGCCCAGCGGCGGAGAAGGCGGGACCAGAAGTTTGGGGTTTCTAGGTCTTAGGGTTGAGGGTTTAGGGTTTGGGGTTTACAAAGGGTTTAGGGTTTGGGGTTTATATAAGGTTTAGGGTTTGGGGTTTCTAGGGTTTAGGGTTTGGGGTTTATATAAGGTTTAGGGTTTGGGGTTTAACAGGCTGCAGGGTTTAGGGTTTAGGGTTTGGGTTTTTTTGAGGTTGAGGGTTTGCGGGTTTATAGGCTTTAGGGTTGAGGGTTTAGGGTTTAGCGTTTCAGGTTTGGAGTTTAGGGTTTAATTCAGGTTGTAGAGGGTTTAGGGTTCAAGGTTTAAGGTTTACGGTTTAGGGTACGAGTCTTCGTTGCAGCACTCTCTCGAAGCATGTTTAAGCTCTGCACTACAGAAACACTCTCCTAAACCCTTCATATCTTTCGTAACTTTTAGCAAGACGAACTATGGGGGCCTCAATAATTACCTACAGGGTCCTTGTTATGAGTATACTACAAAGGACCCCCGAATCCTAGTCTAATCATTCAGGCCCCTACATTAGCAGATCCCCGAATTTCAAGTTAGAGTTCCTGGTCCCAGATTAATTAACCCTAAACCCTAAACCCCTAAACCACTGAACCCTAAACCCTACGCCCCTAAACCCCTAACCCTAAACCCCTAAACCCCTAAACCCCAACCCCGACTTTCAAGTTAGAGCTCCTGGTCCCAGATTGCCGAAGCGATGGCCTTGGCGCACGAGGCCTTCAGTGAAGCAGCCGAGGGGTCTCTGCAGAGGTCGCTTCAGTTGAGAGGCTTGCGGGTGCAGGGCTTCTGGGTTTCTTAAACCCTAAACCCTAAAAACAAAACCCTGAACCCTAAACCCTGAACCCTAAACCCTAAACCTTATAAGCCCTAAACCCTATAAGCCCTATAAGCCCTCAACCCTAATAGTACCGCCTTGCAGCCCGAAAAATCCGAAGCCCCGAAGCCCCGACGTCCTGGCCCACCTGCTTGGAGGCCTACGACGCGCGGTGGCAGAGCATCGGTCTCCCCAGGGCCGTGCTGTGACCGTGGCCGCGGTGAAGATTTGAGCTTGTGGGGTTTGAGAGTTGAGGGTTTAGGGTTTAGGTTTTATAGGGGTTTAGGGTGTGGGGTTTGAGAGTTGAGAGTTGAGGGTTTAGGGTTTAGGGGTTTAGGGTTTGAGAGTTGAGCCTTGTTACGAAAGATTTGTAAGGTTTAGGAGACTGTTTCTGTAGTGCAGGGCTTAAGGTTCAAGTTGAAGGCGAGATTGATGCAGGAGCTTGATTCCCAGTGGATCTTTTGGAAAAATTGGAGTTTCTTGATCAGGTTCCTGCGTTATCGTAGGCGCGAGATGAGCGAATGTGCTCCCTAGTCTCGCTGAGGTTCGTGTCGACAGAAGACGAGAAGAACGAGCTGGACCACAGGACTTAAGCCTGTGGCATCAACATCCGAAGCAGTGTTATGCAGAGTGTACCCTATAACTTCATGGGTATTTCCTACCATTGCCTGGGTTTGGGGCTACCGGAAGGGTTTAGGCTTGCCATGGTCTGTCTTTCTCATCTCATGGCTCCCAACATGGTGGGCAGTTGCAAGTTCCCCCTCATGTCAGTGGTACGGTTGATGATAGAAATTCTGCATTACCTTAAGGACCCCAATCTATGGGTTTTGTGTCATATTCCTTATTATGGGTAATGCAGGATTTGTATCATCAGCCGTAGTTTGTGGTACTAAGGACCCTGGCATGGTTTAGACTTTGCCCCCTGATTCCATGTCAAGCCAATTAAGCCCACAACCCCAAGCACTCACCCTATCGTAGGGGCCTAAATACTTACCTATACTACTTCGGAGAGTTCCTCATTATAAGTATAATATCATATCCCCCAAAACGTTCAACCCCTGAAGCTTTATACAGCTTCAGACCATGTCAAACCTCTAAAACCTGAACGCGTGAACCCAAAGGCAAACCCGCCAACAAGTTTTGCTTTTCAAGATGACTGAACCCCTGCAAGACATTGAAACCTTGATGCCTGAGTGAATCTCTGGAGGAAGCTTGAGCTGGCGTTTGCGCGGAAGGGGCTTCTTTGTCTGCGCCGGTCGCTTCCCCGCCCGGGCTCCAAGAGCAGGGATACGTTGCTTTTCAAAATTGGGTTTTGACGTTTCCGGCTTCTGATTAGGGGTTCGCGGTTCAGTGTAGCTGGAGCTGCAGTGGATTTTGGCTGACCTGGGTATAATAGTACAGTTTATTGTGGAATCCCTAGTCCCGCCGCGGCATTTCATGTTGTGCTTGACGTCCGGATCTTGTCAGGGGACTGTGTGGGTTGCTTGCTACAGCCCACAAACTCCATGCTACCTAAACCATCTCCCCGCGCTGGACCTCGAAGCCGAAAGCCCCAAGCACCCAAAGCCCACAATCCTAAAATACCCCAAAATCCCAAAGGTCCGAAAGAAGCAGCAAGAAAGCCATAAATCCTATCACCCAACTTTCCCAAAAGCCCATAGCCCCGAAACCCTTCGACCTGAGCTTTGCAACCCTCTCTGCAGGCCTCGCGAGTTCTGCCCTCCGACCCCTGGCGCCAGCCGAAGGGCGCAGGCGTTTGGCCGTTTAGGGCTTCTGGGGCATTGTAGGGGGTTGGTATTCATACAGGTTTCTAACGGGGTCTTTTGGACTTTGCAGGATTTTTGGGTTTGTTGTGAGGGTTTATGGCTTAGGCGTTTCAGGGTCCAAGGTTTACGGTTCGGCTTTTCAGGATCTGCAGGGTGTTGGGTCGAGGTTTTTGAGGGTTCCTTTGCAAACTTTTTGATGCTGAGGCTCTTTTCAGCGCCTCGAAGTGCAGCCATACATGTGGGTGGTTCTCTAAATTAGGGTCCCTTTGAGGGGTCCTCTTTATAAGGGTCCCTTTTACTATATAGGGGATTCAACAAGGGACCCCAATTTAGAGAACTACCCATGTCGCTAATTGGGATTCAGGTGGCCTCGGAAGGTTCGCCCGATCCGAACAATTTCAACGGTTTAGGGTTTAGGGTTTAGGGACCAAAGCCAGGAAGTAGCAAACAGATGCTGATCGAGAAGCCTCATTCTAGTGTGGGGGGTTGCTCCCCAATCCAAGGATATTGGAGTCTCCATAGGTTTCGAAAAGGTTAAAAGAGCTTTGAGACGTCGTTAGCTTCTCTTTTTTTGGAAATCCCGCCACAGGACCTCCGTCAAGAAGCCCATGGCTCTGGTCGTTGAGGGTAACTACGAGGCCACTTTGTGTTCAGGATCTAGGGTGACAGCTTTTAAATGAGTTTACCTAAACCTTAAAAAAGCCCTGAAGACTACATACATACTAGTCCATCAGCCCTAAAATTTGGGGGTATAGGGTTGTCAGGCCCTACGCTCATGTGTTATGATCTTCCTACATTTAACGGGTTTGGTGTTCGGACCCTGCTTCGGATATAGAGGGGGTTCGGTTCATGGGATCGGGAATCGAAGTAGTCCCACAAATAGCGCGGGTGCAGCTCTGAGCCAACAAGCTCTCGAAGCGAACCCTACTTACACCTTAACCTGACCTGTGACACTCGAACCTGTAGTTTTCATCTACCCGTGACACCCATGTGAGCTCACATCCTTGTCGACCTTGTTCGAGCCAAGAGCGTATTCAGCAGTACTTGTAGCTGTGATGCTCCCGGCACCCCTGGCAGGTTGCCGTGGCCTACTTCCGATCGGGATATTGGCCGAACCACTTCACGGATGGGGCATGGGAGGCCGGCGGGAAGCCACCGCTTCACTACTCAACCCACACTCCTGCATGCGGATCTTGAGTCTGTCGTAAGCCCCAAGCCCAAGAAACGCCGTCGTCAATCCTTATCGGATTTTGGGTTTGTTCTGGGGGCTGGGAGTACGAAACGCAAGGCGAGGATCTGAAGGACTTCCCTGAGCTTCGGTTTCGGAAATTGAGTTTCAAGGATAGGCTCATTGTCATCATCGTCATCATCGCTAGAGTCCTAAACCCTGCTTCGTAAATCCCCAGCTCCCCACTCCCAAAAACCCAAAACCCAAACAAAACCCTAAACCCAAAACCCTAAACCCTAAACCCTAAGCCCAAAACCCTAAACCCTAAACCCTAAACCCTAAGCCAAAACCCTAAACTTCTTCGCACCGAAACCGCCTCCTACGAGGCCCGCGCCATGATCGAGCGCTCCGAAGCCGTGAAGTGCCCATCCGCTCCCGCGCAGCTGGCCGGGATGAAGAAGGCAGCCTTGCACGCTGAATGTGTGTGTGTATATATATATATATATATATATATATTAGGGTTTAGGGTTTATAGTGTATGTATGTATGTATGTATGTATGTATGTATGTATGTATGTATGTATGTATGTATGCATGTATGTAAATATGTAAATATGTATATATATATATATACAGTTTGACTAGGCTACTGCGTGTCACTCCTGTTGTGCTTCATATGGCTACATTAGGGTTGGAGGGGGTTTTCATAACCTTGCAGGGCTTGCGTCTTGAGGATAATAACAGCGGATGGGGGTTTCACCTCGTGGATCACGGTCGAAGGTTTGACGTTGAGGTTCGGGGACGGCGCTGCAAACCGCATAAAACCCTAAGCCTCAAAGCGATTAACACTTAGCCCGGATCCCTACTGCCACCTTTGTCTCCCTCATTTTTTCTCCTCTCGCTCTTTGTCACTCTCTCTTTCTCTCTCACTCACACTCTCGACCCGACTCTACTCTTTTCAACTCTGTGAGGTTCAGCAACTGCTCTGCCTCCCCACGGAGCTTCGGCGCTTCACCGGCGAGGCGGCAGCGACGGCGGTGGCGAAGACGTGCCTCGGAGAAATAGCATTTGTTGTTTTTGCGTTTCTGATAGCGGCATATATATTTGTATACACATATACACACACCTTGTTGTGTGGTGTTTTTGAAGGTTTCTAGGTTGAGTCATGGTTTTTGGGGCTTAGGGTTATCCTAGCGACTTGTGTGGCTTTGCCTGGTGGTATCGGGGTTTATCGCACTCGGAGTTTATCGTATTAAGATGTTTAGACTCACTGCTTGGGGCTTCCTGTTCTGGGTGCGGGGCGGTTGCATTTTTCCGGCGATGTTGGAGCTTATACAGCTTACGAGGGCTCTGGGTTTGAGTGAGGTCTGTAGGGTTGGAATTGGAATTCAGTGCGGTGTTTTGGAGGCGTTCCTGTCGCCCGCCAGCTTTTCCTTTTTTGCGCTACATTACATTACATTCCATGCGCAGGAAGCAATTGCAAGCTAACTACCTCATGCATGATAAGGCCGCCAAAGCCTAAACCCTAACACCGAAAAGCTGAACCTGCAAACCCAAACACAAAGCCCCCGCAAACATACCCAGAACCCTAAACTCCCTAAACACTTCCATGCGCAACCCAGAGAGCCCAATACCCACTAGTTGAGGAACATACCTCGAAACATAGGGGCTATAATTAGGGGCCTCCATATTATGGTCTAAGGTATATTCCTTAGTTAAGGGTTATTGGGCTCCTGACCAGGTTCGGCAGGCAGTACGATCCAAGCGAGGAGGCCGCCAAAGAAGCGGTCGAGGCAGAGCCAAACAGTCTCCTCGGGATTAAAGATTGCGGGGCCCTGAACCGTAAACCCTAAACCCCTAAACCCTAAACGCTAAACCCTAAACCCTGAACCGTTAGGGTGTAGTTCCTCGAGCTTTCCATAGCCTTGAGTCCCTACGCTTTGCTTCGCTACAATGACTGGGAGCTTTAAACTCCCATTTGGGAGTCTCCGAAAATAGGGGACCCTAATATGGTGCCCTAAATCATAGGATCCTTGTTATAAGGACCCCAAAATAATGTACCCTAACCCTAAACCCTAAACCCTAAACCCTAAACCCTAAATAATGTACCCTAATTTTCGGAAACTCTCATTTGTCTCCTTGGAAAAGGCTGCCAAAGCCGAGCCTGGGCGCTGGGTGCTGAAGCCGCAGGCGTCCCCTTTTTTGAGGGTTTAGGGTTTAGGGTTTAGGGGGGCTTTCGGTTGGAGGATTCGGGTTTGGCGGTCGTGCCTGGGAAGGGAAGGGTGTAAGTGGCTGGATTGAGTGTGTGTGTGTGTGTGTGTTGTCTTTGCGGGTTGGAGGGGCCGGGGGGGAGGGAGGTGTAGGGCGAGCAGCGAGGATTTGCGTTGGAAGTCTGCACTCTTTGCAGGCTCAAGGTATGTGGGGATCGGGACCCTAAACCCTAAACCCTAAACCCTAAACCCTAAACCCTAAACCCCTAAACCCTAAACCCTAAACCCTAAACACACCTGTTTGACGCCGAATAGAGAGCCCTAGTCTAGGTAATCACTTAGCATGTGCTTCGGCGTAGGGCTCGGCCGAGCCCATGGTTGCCGGAGAATGCCGAAACACCAAACCCTAAGCCCGACTCCAGGGTTTAGGGTTTGGGGTTTAGGCTTTTTTGGTTCAGGTTCAGGGTGTAGGGTTTATAAGTGAGCTCCGGAAAGTTGGAACATGGGTTAAGTTTAAGGATGAATAAGTGCTAGAACTCCTTATGCTCTACCTTTCAGGGCATGAGGAAATTCGTGTTCCGGTTTTCCAGCTTCTACTATATAGGGCCCCAAACCCTCAACCCCGACCCCTGAACCCTGAACCCTAAGCTCTATAATTATTACTGTTGATGATACAAAACCTGCACTACCTTAAAGACCCTAAACTATAGGAATTATGGCATGGTCCTTATTATGGGTAATGCAGGACTTATATCATCAACCCTCTCATCAAGCCTAAACCCCATCATCCTCAACCTCCCCCAGCACAAGGTCGAAGGCTCCGGCGAGCTCTTCTTTGACGAGGACATCCCTCGCAGCTTTGCAGCAGGGATCGCGAGATGTTGCGGTCAAAGTTTTGGGGGGCTCCTGTTGGAGGTTAGGGCCTTAGGGTTTAGGGTTTAGGGTTTACGGACTTGGGGTTTGGGGATTTGGGGTTTAGGGTTTGGGGTTTAGGGTTCAGGGTCGGGACAGGGCTTCAGGTGTGGGATTCAGGCTGTCGGGTTCAAGGCTTCTTGTAAAATGCCCGCCGGTTTCTTTGCCTGATGTCAGAGCTCCTATCGTTGCATCTGGATGCAGTGCTACTCTAGGGGCCTAAACACTTACCTTTACAATTTTTGGGGTTCCTTGGTATAATTATAGTATAGCATACTTTACACCAAAACCTTATATTCTAATTAAGGCCCCTACATGACAGCGCTACCCCGTCTGCCCCGTGGTCAGAGTGAGAGTTCTACGGCTTCGCACTTAATTGAAAAGGCTCACGGGCGTACATGGGTAGTTCTCTAAATTAGGATACCTTTTGGGTTAGGGTGCCGTGCCCTTTTGGGGACCCTAAACAGGGACCCTAATTGTGAAAACTACCCGGATATCTCCAACACCCGGAAGCCGACAGAAGTCTGCGCCGAACCGGGATGCAGCGCTTGAAGGCAACCTTTTTGCTGTTGAATCCCCAGAAACTCTGCGCCCTAAACCACTAAACCGCGAAGACCCCGGAGCCAAAAGTGAAACACTGAATCCGGAACTTATAACCCTTAGTTGTCCCAAGACCCCCATATACTTCCCTCCTTTCCTGCCACCCTCTACCCAACACCTACATCCCTGAATGCTTGAAACCTTAATACAAACACGAAAACTCCTGAACCCCACACCCCTGAACCCTCATAAACCCCTCAACTCCCTCAAACCCACGACCCTAAACTCTGTGCTCCCATGATGCACAAATCTAGATGAATGGGTCCCTACACTCATGTTAAGGCTTACCCGAAAAGACCACACTGGCCTAAGCCCAATGCTCTCAAAACATAATTCTCAGCACCCTTTTCAAAACTCACAGAACAACTCTTTGCGAATTCAGGCCAGGGGTCAATTTGCTTGTGAAGGGCGTCCGACTTTTGACTTTCCTTCCTCAAACCTCCGCGACTGGGGGTTTTGCCCGGTTTTAGGTTAGGGAGTATGGTTTTAGGCTTGAGTTGCGGAGTGTGCATTTTCAGGGCTTTAGGGCTTAGGGCTCAGAGGTTGTCGGGGGTCTTCGGTTCGGGGGGAGATGCTAAATCCTAAACCCTAAAGCTTCAACCCTAACTGCAATAAACTTGAAAACCTAAACTTCAAGCCCTAAACCATCAACTTTAAACCCTATAGGGCCTAAACTTGAAACCCTAAACCCTAAACTTTAAACCCTGAAGGCCCTAAATTTGAAACCCTATAGGTCCAGGACTTAAGGGCTTGGGACGTGGGAGGTCTTCAGTTTAGGGTTTGGGCTTGAGGGTTTAGGGTTAAGGTTTAGGGTTTAGGGTTTAAAGTCTAGGGTTTAAGAACACTCTGCCCTATGCGCGGCGTGACAAGCCAAGATGCTGCCTCTTGTTACAGACTACACTGCAGATCTGATATCCTGCAACCCAAAATTCCCTAATCCCTTGAATCCTAAACTCCCTGACCCCTTGATTCCTAAACTCCCTAATCCCTTGAATCCTAAACTCCCTCATCCCTTGAATCCTAAACTCCCTGATCCCTTGAATCCTAAACTCCCTAATCCCTTGAATCCTAAACTCCCTAACCCCTTGAATCCTAAACTCCCGGATCCCTTGAATCCTAAACCCTAAACCCCAAACCCCTTGGATCCTGCACTCTTGGTCCTAAACCCTAAACCCTAAACCCTAAACCCTGAACCCTAAACCCTAAACCCTAAACCGTCTTCCCCCTAAGCCCTGTGCTTGTCTTGAGCTCGTCGATGAGCTTTCCCAGCGGTTCGATCTTCTCCAGCCTCGCTAGACTGGAACTTAGGGCTTCACGCTTTAGGGCAGTGTAGGGTTTAGGGTTTAGGGTTCAGGGTTTAGGGTTTAGGGTTTAGGGGTTAGGGGTTTAGGGTTTAGGGGTTTAGGGGTTTACGGGTTTAGGGTTTTAGGCCCATGATAGTTTCACACCTTACGGGTCTGAGTCTTTTTTTGGCCTTTCAGGATAAAGCGTTATGGATCCGGGGTCTCGAGCTTAAGGTCGCAAGGTGCGTAGGATCTAGTGTTCAGGGCTTGGGGTTTAGGGTTTAGGGTTTAGGATCTAGTGTTCAGGGCTTTGGGTTTGGGGTTTAGGGTTTAGGATCTAGTGTTCAGGGCTTTGGGTTTGGGGTTTAGGGTTTAGGATCTAGTTTCTAATTTAGTAATTAGGACCAATTAGGGCTCGGTTCACGCCGACGGTGAAGGCTTGTGGTCGGTTCCTGTGTCTCGCTCTTGGCTTCAGGCTTACAGTAAGTACAGGGGTCTTCATGGCTCGGGGGTTGTTAAGGCCATCATCTAGCTACCGTCACCGTTATCCTGTTTAGTGTGCTGGGAGTGCGAGGAGGGGCTTTCTTGCTTTGAACTCTCAAGTCTGGTCTGATCGGACCATCCGCCACCAGCCAGCCAAGCCAACAAAACACAACTGGTTGCAGTTCTTCATGATCCTTCACAGTTCCGAACCGTGCAAGGGTTAAGTCCAAGCAGCAACTGTTGCTGGTCCTGCGTGACACCGCGGACAGAGGAGTCGTCACTAGAGCTGCCATCTTCCTGAACATTTTTGCAGCGCAGTGACACATTGGAAAACACTGCTGATGCTCGTGCAATGTGTCATACGTGTCAAACTACACTGGTGTTGCGGATCGACAAAAGCAATAGTACTGCTCACAGACGAAATCCTGCACGGCGCTGTTTATATACATCGAGATGTCAACTCTGGTGCAATCGTTGTTGTGTTAGCTCGCCGAGACTTTGTCCAGTAGCAGTAACACATATGTACAAAAGCACAGTCTTCATGAACATGTGTGCACCGAGCTTGCATGAGTCGTGCCAGATGTCGCTTTCACTGATATGGAATCGTGGGCATGTCAAGATGCACCATGTTGAATATCGCACTTCAAGACACCGCCCAGCACCAAATTCAAGTGGCTAAAGCACATCCAAATAGGTTAAGCTCCAACGGGAAAAGCGAGCAGCTGGAAAGCCGAAAAGGCAAGTACCGCATTCGTTTTACACCTACACCTGCTTAACCACAAACCCATTTTACTCGATATTGTAGTTCCCCAGTTTCCGACCACCTTGGGTTGCCTCCATATTTGCCGGTCGAACTCGTTCGGAGGGGTCTGGGGGGTGGAGGGTGGTGGGGGTTTTGGGCTAGAGAGGATGATACCGCCACTCTAGTTCGCACACACCGCACGCTGCTTCAAAACCACGAGATCTGGGCTCTCCTGCCAACGTGAAGTTTTTTGGGGTTATATCATGACATAATTAGAAACACACAGGAATTGCAAAGAGGATACTGTTATTGACTGTTTAGGCCCCCATATGACCGGCCTCTTGGCTCAGGAAATGGCTCAAACTGTCGCGTCCCTGCGTCCTCCTGAGAGAGCAGAGGAAGAGCAGGACGTGGAATTGCTGTTTCAGGTGGAGGGTTTAGGGGTTTAGGGTTTTAGAGTTTAGGGCGTNNGGGTTTAGGGTTTAGGGCTACGGTTAGGATTCGGGGGTTGGGGTCTGGGCTATAGAAGTTGAGGTTGAACACTGGGATGCTGCATGGACTCTGGGGCTTTTAAATGGCCGTGCTGGCAACATTTGCCGACAGAACGCATAACATGTCAAAATTTACAGTAAGGGGTCCTGAGTACTTTAAATGGGGGGGGGGGGG